ATATTTATATAAAAATAAATATTTATTAAATTTATTGACTTAAAATAATCTCCCTCCCTCTCCCTTCAGGAAAATCCATTTTCTTCTTATTTTGACATCTGACCCTAATCTTAGACCTGATGAATACAGTTTGCCATGTACCCTACCTTCTGCTCTTTTAGATGCTGTTCCATTTTCAGTTGTTCCTCTTTGTTCTTCTGTATATGTTGCTGTAAATTCTTGATCTCAGCTTGCTTGTTATCCATTTCAGCTAGAAGATTTTTCAGCTCCTTCTCCATTTTTTCTTTCTTTCGAGCCTCTCGTGATGCCTCATTCTGATGCAGCTGGATTTCTTGCTGAAGCTATAATAATAGAGAAGACAAAAGTTTAAGTTCTGCTGCCATTTATTCAGGAAAACAAGGCCTCTCACCTCTCCTTCTACTATGCTTGATTTTGAAAACAGCTTCTATACTACTGTACCCACTACTACATGGAATATGCCAGATCTTCTCAGAAGTAAATATGTTCTCTAGTGGCTGAACAAAAAATCCTGCATGAGGGAACCTATTTATTGATGACAAGAATTTGTTAAGCACCAGTCAGTTCACCCACACAGAAAGGTCTGATAGAGTTCAGACATAAAAGCATTCCTTTGGAGATGCAGTGGCACAAATGTATTTTCAGTTGTAAGTTACGTGTAAAGTGGTACTTTCTGAATGCAGCATTAAAATTAATTTGGGCTTGATGTTCTATTGCAAGGATTTTTTTTTTACTTTGATTTTTCTATCTCACCAGCAGAAACACTTATTACACTTATAATAAAGGAAAGAGAGAGATGTCAGACCAGTGTTCTTTTTCACAACTGCTCTCAATCTTTCTGCTCTCAAAGTTCCTCTGCGTGAACTTTGAAAGAGGAGCTTTCTCTCATATTTAATAGACTGTCTTGTGACTTCTGCTCTCTCCCTCCCCAAAAATGTGGTGGAGCAGAATGAGCAGAGAGGAGACACAGGTGGGTGATCCACATGGAAATATTCAGCCAGGGACCAGCAATTGAAAGATGTTCTTCGCTTAAGGATTTCTCTCCCTCTGAGCCCACAGATGAAAAGTTGCCAGAACTGACTGGGTCTTCAACAGGATCTTCAAAAAGATGTTGTCATTTAAGCAGTCTGAAGTGGAGAACAATTTCATACTGGGAGAATGGGAGGTGGTTACAAACACTGTAGCAATCCCATAAATTTGAGGGCTGATGAAGTGAGTATCAAAAGATTCAGGCTGGCAAGATTCAATGAGTTTTGACGGGAGTTTCAATCCTCTCTTTTTTCTCGCATGTCCACAATGTTGTCAGAAAAGCAAAGATTTATATTCTCTTGTAATACATTCCCAACCATCTGCTTTAGAAACAGAAGAGAGTTCTGTGCATGAAACATAGGCTGATCATTACTTTCCTATTTGTGATTAATAAAAAACTGTAAGCTAAATGCTGCATCCATCTCTTCTCTGTTCCTTATTTAAGTGTTCTTTTCTGCTTTTCCTTACTCCTGTTGTCTTGCTCCAGCCCCTATTTATATTCTGCTTTAAATTCTTTTATTCCTCATTATTATGCTTTTATATTTTGATGTATCAGAATTCCGTATCCCATCTTTCATCCTTTTCTACTTTCTCTCCATTCAGTGGGTATCCTATTGATCCTCAGTTTTCTGCTGCTATACACATTTAAAGGAAGCTATACACATTGATCAGAAAAGAACTGTCTACTCAGATGGTCAGAAAAACAGGGAACCTAACTCAAAGAGGAGTCAAAAAAAGTAAAGCTGAGATGGAATATGACTGCTCTCTACAGACTGGTGAGGTAAAAAATTTAAGCTGAAAAACAGTAGGCAGGAATCAGCATGAAGAAGAAAGTAGGAGGTCTCTAACCATTAGAAAAGTGAGGTTCTGGAAAAGCTTCCCGTAAGCGGTAGGGGAGAAAATAGACTAATCAGCTTTTAAGTCAGAATTTGATACATTCTTAAAAATGATAGTATGGCATCATATGACAACCACTGCCAACAGCAAGGGACCTAGGATCTCCATTCCAGGTCTATGTTCTAAGTGGTTCTTTGAAGGCATAAGGATTTACAATGCAGAAAAAGAAACACATCTCCGGTATGAAAGATAACTATGATTCAGGCAAAGAAACCTTGGCCTCATTCAGGGTATTGGGAAGCTATGGAAGCAGCTGGTACATGACAGTACACTTTGCAAAGGACATAGCCTAGAAGTAGAGAAAAATATAAAAATCATTCACAACAGACTCCTTTCTAAGCACACCTGAAAATGTTTGAGATGTGAAAGAACAGGTAGTAGCAGACTAGTCAACACAGATCAATTGCAAGAGTGGAGGATGGTTCAGGGCAAAGCCTAAAATCACCACCTGGTGATCCGTACAGACCTGCATAACGGATTGATCTGCCTCGTTTTTTGCCCTCTCTGTATCCTGCTGCTGCTCTGTGGCTTGAGTTAGACTTTGACGTAACTTCACAACCTCTGACAAGAGTTGGTCTCGCTCCTTTGTTATCTCTTCTTTAAGTTTTAGCAAATCCCGGATACTGGAAGCAAGGAAATAATAGTCAAGCAGTGTCACAGGTCCTTTCTGTTCTTCCTCCCATCCAGAGCAAGATCTTTTGTGAGAAACAGGAGTTTAAAAGTAATTTTTTTTTCATTTAAAACTCCTCTTGGATTAAGGCTCTGCTGGTCAATTGAATTATATGCTCTACCTACTGTGATCGTAGTCACCGTCAACATAGGCAGCTTTAAAACCTAACCTAGTCCAATAAATCACTCTTTCTTGCTATATCACATCCCCCTGGGTCTGAAGAAACCTTCAGTTTCCCAAAAAGGTAACAGGGAACAAAATTCCTTCTTCTCCACCCATTGCAAAATTACTCGGGGACCAAAAATATTACATTGTTGTAACCAGTCTCTCTGCAGCTTACCTGACTGGGCACCTAACTGGGTTATGTCTTACAGTCATCTAATGTAAGAATAAAACAGACTCCCTGTTTGGATGCATTTACGATCTGAAAGAAAGTCCAAGCAGTGTGGGTTCAAGCTCAACCTTAAAAACCAGCCTTATAGTTCTAAAAGACCTGCAAACAAGTCCTGCAAAAGAGTTGTCTAGTCCCATGTTCTTGTTACTGGACAGAGTATTTAAGCATGGAACTGGAGGGCAATACACAGGGAAATTTAAGAAGAAATTGTAAGTAGGCAGGTCTCAGCAGCCTGGGTAGCAGCTGGAAACTGCAGGAGTGAGGTCTTGGCAAAGCAATGACTCCTGGCTCTTCCAAGAAAATGCAAAAAGCAGCCACAGAGAGCTGCCTTTAGGGAGAGTTCTACTAGAGGAAGGCTTAATGACCAAGCTTTTAGATCCAAGAAAACCTGTTACACAGGTCCAGAACATTTCAGGGCTAAATGGTGAAGGAGTGGATTTCTCATGCATCCAGGTGGCTTATGTACTGGCACATTCCTTGGAGGAGAAATGTTTGAGCACACTAAAGGCTTTGCTCACAGACAGAAGTCTTGTTTATGCAGCCTGGATACACAGTGCATTGGGAGACAAGCATGCCCCATACATACCCTGAATGCATAATATAAATGAATACCTTACACAGTGTGAAAATTTCAAGCCAGAACCAGCTGGGCCAACCATCAGCAATCTCAATAAAAAGTGCACAGGTCATAAGGTCAATATACTTAATCTCATCTTTGAGTTTACACTTAATCTAACAGCATAAGCACAGTCTGAGGACCTGATACTACAAACGCTAGCTTTTGGAGGGCTTTTGAGCAGCTCCTGAGGATCATTATTATTTGCAGAGTGTAGCAACTAGAAGCTCCACCTGAGACTAGGTCCCTCTGTGCTAGTGGCTGCATAAGCGTTCAGTAAAAAAAACCCATAGTCTCAAAAATGTATAAATATAAAATACAAACAAGAATACAGACAGTGATAATGCCTTATAACAAAGCTGGGAGCAGAAGAAAAATCAAGACTCCTGCTTCCTTGACTTATCTGCTTGACCCTGCTGCCATCATACTTAAAAACATTGACAGGATCCTATTCTCAAAGACAAGAGTATGTTGCAATGCTAGTCAGATAAAACAATATGACAGGTACTGAGAAAGTGCATAATATTGATTTTTATTTGATCTCTCAGCTTAATCCAATGCTGAATGAACTCACTCAGAGCCTGATTCTGTACTTGCTCACTGCATAAACATATAAACCAATAAATGTGCACTCATGAGAAAAGTAAAAGGCAGAAGAGACCTCTCTGTTTTCCAGTGTCTTTTTAGTGTCTAAATGGCTAAACAAGGTGTAGAATGATAGAAAATCAGATCAGACTTTCCCCCTCCCTGGGGAAAACTTACTTGTACTCCTGTCCCAGGGATAGCGTTGATCCTTGCTCCACTAAGTTAGTTAGGCGCGCAATTTCCTCTTGCAGTGAATTAATCGTTTCCTTCGCTTTCTGTTCCTTTTCATAGGCTGCATCCACCATTTTCCAGGCCTTTTCAATCTCCTAGGCACAAAATGGAAAACAATTACATAAATTAAATTGGGTTGAAAATGAACAACAAATTAAAAATTAATTGCCTTGCATTTTGGTTAATTAAGAAAATAGATTTTCATGACTTTTCATGCTAAGATTCACAACAGTTTTCTTCACCCGTTGTCTTTTCTTTTGGACGAGGGCATAGCAAACATTTTGAGCCATTCAGGCAATTTACACCACAAAAGCTGTAATACATTTTCTTTAACACATAGACCCGAACACTATCAAATCTTACTCTATGAGGTTTTGATCATGTGAGTCCCACTAATATCTAAAAATTTACTGAAAATTCAGTGCCCACAAAAGTACTATCTACTTAAATAGCTCACTTACGTCTGTAAAATCTTATTAGCTGTTATGATAATGAACATCCAATTTGATTTGGATGAGAAGATGATGTTACTCTGGGCTTTTCTCCCTCTTTGTTCATTTTCATCTCTGAGGACCTAGTGTATTTTGATTTTAACTACATATTCAGACAAGCCACAATTCTCATGCCAAATTTCTGCACATGGAATTACTTCAATGACAGACTTGTGTGCCTCTCACAAACCCAGGGTTTGTTATCCACAAACAGGATAGGGGAGGAGGGTTCACTTGATTTTTTAACTTCCTCTGCATGTCTCTCCCTTGAATCAGATCCTTAAGAATCACACAGCAGGCTTATTCCTTGCTAGGTTCAAACCAAGCTCCTACCAGTTCTGGAATCCTGTGCAAAAAAAATGCATAGATTCAGAAACACTGGACTGGAAGAAAAGTTCCCGAAGACTCAGTAAATAATGAAGACACTACTTTTGACACTAGCAATCCCTGAGCTGCAAATCACAGCATGATGTCCTCTCTCTCATACTCTTTTCTCAGCTGGCTCCTGGTGGAGTTCTGGACTTGATGGACTTGTACATATTTAGACTCCAAGTGTGACTGTGCAACTCTGCATTAGTTCTACGGTCTCCCCAAGCAAAGCCAGACAGAAGCATCAATACATCAAGCCATAATATCCCTGTCAACTCCTACTTGCATCATATGAAAATGGGACAGGGAAAAAAAATTTTAAAACACTCCACAATGAAAAGTGTCAAATAGTTTAACTTATATCAAATTGTTTACAGAAGTTCTTTACTGAAATTAACATATCTGGTTCTAAAAAAAACCTATTTAACACTAAACTCAAAATGATGGCACCTATACTATGGTATATTGTTCATATATTTATTGAACTCTTTTAAATCAAATAAATGTAGTACTTAGCTGTTTACTACCTAAATTAAAAATTCAAGCTATTGAACTAGCAGAAGTAACAGGCTACCAGAATTTGCTGAAAAGCTAACACAAAATATAACATCTGCAGCCTCTTCAAAATGGAGGGGGAATACAATTTCATTTTATTTATTCAACTAGTTCAGCATATCCAAATTTGAGAAACCATCTGGAGCTTAAAGACCGGGAGTGTTTGCTCTTCTTTTTTTTTCCCAGTCTATTAATAAAGAGTTAAACGGTGGGCTTTACTTGTTCAGAAATTCTGAAGGAGATTACAGTCAATTAAAGTCACTACCTACAAACAGTATTTTTGTTAATTAATAAATTACTTTGTTCAAAATTTAGTTTGAAAAATGTGCTTTTCACTTATGTATCAAGCATATTTAAACAGTTTTAAATATTAAAGTTGTTACATTTTATACATTTTGAGTTCTAAATTCCATTCAAATGCAGAAATGATCACACATAAAGAATTAAGTATCATCTAGTAAATAATAATTTTTCCATTCATTATTATCTTACATAAAAATGTTCAATTATGAAATTTAAATAAATGCATGCTAGGCTGAAATAATGGTATGAAGACATAGTGTATCATCTTGACTGGCAGAAAAGCAAAAAATACAGCTGTAAATAAACATGTTTCAGATTTGCCAACCAATAAGAGGCAACCAACCTTTCTCTAGAAAAATGCAAATGGAAAATAAGATTAAAGCTGATTACTTAAATCAAAGCTTCCTACTGGCTGATTAGACTGTGATTAAAATTGGTGAATTAAATCACTATGTTTGGAGTTTTGGGGGATAAAATCAATATGCCCTCTGAGAGGTCTTACTGGCTTCAGTGAGTATTTTTTTCTGGTAAGTATTCGCAAAAGTGATCCCCTGAAGTCAATGAGGACATTCAGATAAGCAGTGATTTCAGGTCACCCTAAGCTATGCTTTAAGAACTTTATCTTGCTTTCAATGTGTAAAAACAATTTTATTGAATTTGTATTGATAAAACAAATTTTCATCAATATGGTTAGCAGGCACAGATGACGGCCCCCTTTAATAAGCAAGATCTAAATGAGAATTTGCTACAGACTTCAGCATCAGCAAAACTGGGCTTCATTGTAGTTGATTCTTGGTTGTGTCTTTTACCTTGAATAGCAGATCTACAGATTGCTTCCTTTAAATTCAAAAGTAAAGAGGAAGAAATTTTTGATGGTGGAAGCCTTCGTTGAAAAAATATTCACATTATTACTCAGTGGAGAGGGGAACTGAAATAATGCAGAGTATGTCAGCATCACTGGGTGATTGCAGTACGTGGTTAGGTAGGTAATATGCATTGCAGTCTGTTGTATAATTAAAGATGGAAGTACACTGGATGTTTGCAGTTAGAATAATTCAAAAATTTTTTGAGAAGTACTGGAAGTCTGGAAATTGTGAAGCAGAATTCATAAAAGTGTGACAGCTTTACTTTATTTTCATTAAATACTCCAAAATATCACATCAGTTTCACTGCTCAGAAGCTGAGAATTACTGAAACACTTTCTTAGTATATTGGATTGATACCCCTGGAAATCGAAAGCTTGGTAATTCCAAGCAGGGCAGTACAAGCTCCTATAAATTCCCCACCTAAAGTTCTTCCAGTACAGCCTTGTGGATCAGTATCCCTATCAATTAAAAAGAGAATTGTATTCCCTTGGTGTTCAGCTTGGCACTTTGCTCCTTTGATATGACCATAAACAGCAGACTATTATGTCCGGTTTATTAAAACTACAAAACAGAGCACTGAACAACTATCAGAGAGCTAACAGCTATTGATTATTATTGAAATGGGTCCTACCAGCCACTGATCTGTGTAGTTAACCCCTGCCCCTAAACAAATCCTACTGATTACATCGAGGCTTCACATGAAGAAAAATTTTCCTTTTGCAATTTTTATTTGTATATGAAACAATGACCTAGAAGAGGAAAGCTGTACACCTGTTACCCTGATGACCCATCAAGTCACCAAGATTTAGGGCCTTAATTTGAAGCAACTATACCATTTTTACAGGAACAGCCCCACCAGGATTCTCCTATCTTTTGTAAATAATGAAACAGTGGAACAGATTGTTTGTTTAATTTAGCGCTGAAGAATATAATCTATTTTAGCACTTGAACTTTCCTCAACGCTTGCCTTGGGTACTTGCGAAACACATTTTTTGAATGTTAGTAAAATTGTAGTGAAATCCTACAGCTGTAATGGAACTTCCCTTCAGAAAGGAGAATAACATGAAATATGAAGGGTATACCAAACAAAACCCCAAAACATGACGTAAACATTTTAAACAATATCCAAATAATTCCTGAACATTTAAGGGAAAGACTAATTCTCATAACCAAAATGAAAAAGTATAAGTGCTGTTTACTTGGCCCAGCACAACACTAGAATTGAAATGTCGCATGTTGTGTACTGCACGTCATTTCTAATAGGATCATATTGTCAAGCAGCTTTTTCACTACAAAATCTCTTAGCTGGTTCAATAGCAGGTGGAATTGTGAAGCCATACATTGCCTGAGCTTCAAATTAGCTGCTGAAATTGGGAAGGCTCTTATTTTTCCTACTCTTCCGCTCCTCATTTTATGACATTACTAAGACAATGTCTCCTCAGCTTGGGAACATCTTGAAGGATTGCCTCTCCTGCTGTTCACACTCAGATTATTGCCATGTAATAGCAGAAAGAAAATTATAAGGATCATTGTGGTTCCTGACACCCACCTACCAGGTTTTGATTAGCAGCAGTGAAAATCAACAAGATTTTCTACGCAGTTTTCCTCCTCCTTGAGGATGCTTTGAGCAGTACCATGGGCTTGCAAGCTGCAGCCATAGGATGACAGCACTGCTATTTATATTTACTCTGAGTGTATTTTCTTCCTAATTCGAAGGACAAGAAACTTCATTTCAAAGAACTTCTATTTCTGTAGTGCTCATAGATCGCTCTGGATTGTTACACTGAATTTATTTTACTGGAACAAAACATTTTATTGTAAGGCATGGAGGTTTCTCAACTAAATGCTAAATTAAAGCCTGTCTAGGTTCCACAGCCTAAGCTTTTAAACCATCAGAAGGAAAAACATTCAAAATACAGTCTTCTGATCATTTGGCAGCTTTAGGTTTCTGGTAGTCAAACTTCACTGTAAGGCTAAAAACATCGACTGTTTTTAACAAGTCAAGCACTTTGATTTGACAGAGTTCAAATCAATAATAACAAAGAACACATCAGAGTAAATTGGTAAAATCACATTGAAATGCTATATAGGATTCCTTTTCAAAAACACTGTGAAACATTTATTTATATGAGTTGATGACACTTCCCTGGTGTAAAACCTGTATTTCAGCAAGTAAGTAGAATTTTTGTGCTCTGGCAATAGTTAACATCCAAGCAGCACTTCAAAAATATTAATGAATCCAGTCTCAAAAACTGAATATTAAGTTGGAAATGTGCTATTTTACAGAGGGAAAGCTTAAACAAAAACCATTAGTGAGTACTTGAAAGCTGATGGAGTTGGTTTAGTGCAAATAAACACAGAATTTGACTGGGACTAGTAAAAATATCAGGCTAAAGAAACAAAGCGATTCATAGCAAAGCACAGGTTAAAGAACTGGAGATGCCAGCTCTATAGTTAGTCCTCCGGCTAGTTCTCTACATAAAATAAAGTGTTCTTGTAGATGCTTTTCTTATTACCATGTCTTTCATTAACAATTTGCAGATCATATTTAATTCAATTCACAACTTTACCGTCTTCATTGATGATATAGTTCCCTGATCATCTTTAGAGAGCTTTGTGAGCGCAGCTACTTTAGATGAATTCACCACAAGCTCAGCATTCAGCTCCCTGCATTTCTCCATGAGACGCTTTTCATTTTCATGAGACTTCTTCATAACAGCATGGAGCTTCTCATATTCTATTTGGAATTTTTCCAGAGTTTTATCTCCCTTAAGTAGATTGATGACTTCTTGGAAGTCTTTTTCCAGTGATTCAAATGCACTTTCATCTAGATAGGGTTTGCCAGACTTTTCCTGAATGAAATGAGATAGATAATCAACAAACAGGAGGAATTCAACATCTCACTTATGACCACAGAATATAAAAAAGCAATATGCTGAGTGTGTAACAGCTACTAAGAAATCATGACAAAATTTTCTGAAATAACAGTTCTCTTGCTATCATATGATATATACATTGCAGTCTATTTTTCAAACAGATCTTCCCCAATTTTACTGAAATAACTTGTGCTTTAACAGTCATAGTTCCTGTAATTAAGCACCACAACTACTTTAAAGATAAGTCTATAAAATGTCATCATTGTGATAGTGCTTAAATAATACATCAACTATTCAGGAAGCCCAGTATTTTAGCCTCAATTCTTCCCAGTTCTCTACACTCTAAAGTCTGATTAGTTTATGCTTTCTAGGCAGATAGTGCCAGCAAATCACTTGCAGATAAGCGTGTCTGAAAGCTCCAGTAATGCCAATGCAAGCCAATCCTTCTTCTGCAGGAAATGCTACTGTTAAACCTTTCACAGGGGACATTTTTGACCTAGCTCAGTTCTGACGCCAGATTTTGCCAGCTCAGTTGCTGGACACCAAATTCCACCAATATTTTTCAAAACAGCTTAAAATAAGCCTGCATTACAGCCTTCAGCAGAACACCAAGTGGAGGCCCTATGGCCACTTCTCGGGAGTCAGCTTCATCTGCTAAGCCACATGATAAATCAGCCCACTGGATGCTTCTTGCTGTCACAGATACATTGCTTCCATTACTCAAGCTTGCTCAAAACTGACTGGAACGTCTCTACACTGCAATCTGAAGTCTAGGTATATCCTTATAATCGCATCTCAGAGGTGGGCTCACTTTGATAGGAAAACAGCTCTCCTGTTAGCGCGGGCCATGGATGTATGGCAACCTCCTCTCATAGAGGAGAGGCAATGAGATGCACAGCTACCACAGCCTTAAAAATATGCCCTCATCTCTGCCCCCCAAACTGACGGATTGCTATTTCAAAAATGGTTCAGGCCCCTGCTCACCATTTGAACGCAAACAGTTTAAAGGTGAGAATTTTCAAAATTCTAAAAAAAATATTCTGAGAGCAAAATGACACGTTTCATTTGTTTGTTTGTTTGTTTGGGGCGGAATACATAAGTTCACGCTACCTGGAAAACCTGAAATCAAAATGGTAAAAACAGACCCTTACGGCTTGAAAGAAAGGTCAGGCCGCGCGACGCACTGAGGCAGAGGCACTGGCTCCAAAGTCCCCCTCCTTGCCAAGGCTCTGATTTGAGGGGGTTTTCCTGTGTCAGAAACTTCAATGGGAAAACAGCAAAGGCAATTTTGGGTATTAAAACCCACGCTCCTGTTGGGGTGGAAGGGCTGTCTGCGCGGCACGGCCTAAGTTTGGTGCGTAACCCTGTCAAACCGGCTCCAGCGCTCACAGCCACAGATCTGGGTTTCTTCTTATTTCACCCTCCTCTCCAACGCAAAACCTTCATTTTGATCTCGTTTATGTTTGTGATCATAAATAGAGTTAAAAGAAGAGCAGTAACGGCATACGGGGGGGGGAGGGGAATCACACCCACGATCTTAAAAGTAGCAGGTGTTCCTAAAATTTAAGTGTTATTACTGCCTATGTACAAGTAGCCTAATTGCTCCCACTTTCAACACAGGATCTAACTGAGCTCTGCTCACGAAAGTAACTCAAAACATAAATATGGTATACAGATATAGATGATATGTAGATGTCATTGGTCTTATTCTGAGGTACAGTGTTCATCCTGCCCAAAAAACAGGCGGGGAACGCCGGGTGGGGGGGGCTCACCTCAGCCATGC